AACTAAGGAGCCTGACCAGGTTCAAATTCTAGATCTTTCTTCCCTAATTTATTTGGACTGCGTACATTTATGTCTAAGGTTTAGTTTCCTCATCTGTAAAATCTGGATAATAATTCTTATCTTCTAGGGTTAATGATAATTGCACATGTAAAGTCCCCTTTGCAGCCCCTGGAACATCATACAAATGTGCAGTGATTATGTAATAAATGATTGTTATTATAATTAATTTTATGATTTGTGTCTTATGGGGCGGGGGGACATGAAGAAGTTCCATTGGGTGTTTTGTGGTCAAAGTGGGGGAGAGACAATGTGGCACAGAAAATCACTATCCACCTTCACAGACGAATAGGGAGTATAGTCAGGATGGAAACAGATCCAGGAAGTAAGCTGAAAGAAAACCTGGACGATGATAAAGTGGGTTTTCAAATCACTTTAAGTACAAGAATGAGAATTCAAGAAGTGATTTGAGAGCAAGGCTGCCAGGGGTTTATTTATTTATTTAAATTTAAGATTATGAAGCATCTCATAGTATGCATATAACTACGGGGGTTTACAGAGTAGCATGGAGAGGGAGAGGAGCCCTTGTGGTGCAGTGGTTAAGAGCTCAGGCTGCTAATCAAAAGGTCAGCAGTTCGAATCCACCAGCCGCTCCTTGTAAACCCTGTGGGGTAGTTCTACCCTGTCCTATAGGGTTGCTATGGGTCAGAATCCACTTGACAGGAATGGGTTATGAAGAGGGAGGGAGAATGATGTATGTGAAATTTCCTGCTTTTTACAAAGGCCCACAAGCCCTGCTTCCACAGTCATGCCTCTGTTATTTAAAATTACGATACCTGGAGTTAGGTTGGCCCGATGCCTGATAATCAAAAAATCTGGGTCTAGTCCAAGTTTGCATTCTGACTTACTGTATCAACTAATCACTTCATCTCTTTGCCTTTAGGTAGAGGAGAAAAAAATCTCTCCACCTTGCTCATCTCACAGAGATTCTTTTAGACTGAAAAAACAGAAAAGAAAAAACTTCTTTCAAACGCCTCTTGGGTGATGTAACTTACTGTTAAATGTGGTAGCATAATGTAGTCAAGAAACAAACCTCTTTAAATCATATTCATTATCTTGCAGGCAATGAATTAGATCTATAGCAGTCTGGTTTGGCAACAGCTTTCTCTTGAGGAGGGGGTAGCAAAAAACTATTTGTTCAGTGGTTTGGCTTGGTTCAGTGGCAAGCACATGGACTTGAGATTGGTGCTCAGCTGCGTTCCAATTTTTTAACTCAGCTAAATTTTAACTCTGTCACCTTGTCTAGGACACCTATTCTCTCAGAGCCTAGGTTTCTAGATCTATAAAATAAAGACAACAATATCTTATAAGTTATGAGGATTACGTGCATGTAAACTTCTATAACATTCTGTGCCAGTTTATGGATTACACAACCCTGGGGGCAAAATAAAATAAAACAAATTTGATTTATTTTTAGTTTTTGCTTGAAGACTGAGGCCCAGCATTGTCTGGAGGCTCCTAGGTTCTTGTTGATTTGGGGGCATACTGGGACAAAGCTAGAAGGTTTATTTCAGGATGTCTTTTCAAACCAGTGCCAGACTAGACAGGCAGAGGGTTAATGGAAATGACTCACTGGATTTCCTCCAGCATGAGGTGTTATGCCTCTTCTGTGAGATCCTCTATGGGGGAGGCATGGGGACTAATTCTTGGTCTGAATCCCAGGGGCAGTTGCAGTGGGTATGGTATGCTCCAGAACTGTTCCAAGATGACCAGGTGATCAAACAACTTACAGTTTCACAGTGGCTATTGCTGGACAGGAGCCCTGTTGGCGAAGTGGTTAAAAGCTCAGGCTGCTAACCAAAAGGTGGGCAGTTCGAATCCACCAGCTGCTATTTGGAAACCCTAAGGGGCAGCTCTACTCTGTCCTATAGGGTCGCTATGAGTCAGAATCCATCCAAGGGCACACAACAACATTGCAGGGCAAGGTGCAGATGGAGAACAATTAGTTCCCTTTAGTCTCATTTAAGGTGTCTGGGTGGCACAAGTGGTTTGTGCTCGATTACTAACATAAAGATTGGCAGTTCAAACTCACCCACTCAGCAGTGCTGCAGAAGAAAAGCCTGGCAATCTGCTTCCGTAAAGATTACAGCCAAGAAAACCCTATGCAGCACAGTTCTACTCTGCAACATGTGGTGGCCCCATGAGTTGGAATCAACTCGATGGCAACTTTTGTTTGTTTAGTCTCCTTTACAGCAACTTCTATCTATCCCTTTCCAATACATCTTTGTTTGTGGGAGTTTACTGTGAGTCTTTGGGGTATCCCTAAAATTCATTTTTCAATCAACAGAAAGGAAGAAACAGCCTGTCTTTATCACTATCTAGGTCAGTTCTTTCTGAACAAACAGGCTGCAAATCCCAATGGCTTCTCAGAGCTGTCTCGGATCCTTCCATCCTTCATTATCCTATTCCCATGGTAACCCTCAGGAAGAGAGCTGAGGGACAGTTAGCCATGAGAGGCTATTTTTAGATCCGGCCAGATGCTTTGATAAGTCTGTTTGGGGGAGGGGTGTGGGAAATCTAAGCAAATGTAGGAGATGTTTTTTTCAAAGAAAATACCATTTTAAAATTCATATAATAAAATTGAAAATGACCTTGAGAAATCATCTGACAAAGCTCTGCTTTTAGGAGGACATACTTCCAAACCATGCCAATAATTGTGTGTTAAAATATTTTTAAGAATATTTTACTTAATATCCTGTTCTAATATATCACCATATTTCATACCACAGAATTGCCCCACATGCAATCTCAGTCCCCAGACCAGGGTATCTGAGAATGAGGCTCAGTCTGATGGCTCAAGTTATGGACTACACAACCCTGGGGGCACCATTCAACTAGACTGTGCTGCTACTGGCACTCCCTAAGTTTGTGCCGTGTGCATCTTGTGCAACCATATGCATTGATTCTGCCCCACTTACCGTTTCAAAATGTAAACCTGATTCTGCGCATCCCCTCTACCCTCCTTAAAAGCCTTCAGCTATTTCCTATTCTCTTATGTTAAAGGCCTCTTAGGTTAAATCAGAAATTTTCCTATACAAACTTAGATTTTGAGCTTCTATTTAAAATAATCATATCTGACAACGCTGGTATCATATGCCTGTAAACAAGCAATCGTCTGGAGCTGAGTAATGTTTTTCCCTTTTAGACCATGCTCTCCCTGCCTCTTCTTAATATCTCTTTTACTCCTGGCCTGACCCAGCACTTACGATAGCATGACCCTTCCAGGCCTCTGGGTTTTCAACTTAAGCTCTAAACTTTATCAAGAGAAGAAATCCAACTTTAACAAACTTTATATCAGGAAAAAAATATCCTCTTTCTGGGTGAGGTGGAGGTGATTGTATTTACATTTTCATGATTTTAGGCCTTTTTAGTACTCTCTCTACACGTTTATTTCAGCAGAGTGGTCTGATTTCTTTGAATATAAAATGGTGGAGCTTAGTATATTACTTCCAGCACCCTTTTGTCAGTTTATCTTACCGTGGTGGCTTGAATGCTGCTATGAGCTGAAAGCTATGTCACTGGTATTTCAAATACCAGCAGGACCACTCAGAGTAGACAAGTTTCAGTGGAGCTTCCAGACTAAGATAGACTGGAAAGAAAGGTGATCTACTTCTGAAAATTAGCCAACAAAAACCATACGGATTATATCAGAACATTATCTGACATAGTGCTGGAAGATGAACCTCCTAGATTAGAAGGCTCTCGAAATACACAGTGGCTGCAATGACAGACTCGAACATACCAGTGATCATGAAGATGGCACAGGATTCGGTAATGCTTAGTTCTGTTGTACATGGGGCTTCCTTGAGTCAGAGCCAATTCAACAGCAACTAAAAACAACAACAATAGTCTATTCCTTTCTGGTTCTAGTGTTTAGCCTCTGGGAATGGTCTCCAATCAAAGTTCTGGCTTCACAGGAGTTTGAAAGTTGTGTGGTTGTATTTTAACAACTGTAGCCATGTGCAGACTCATGTATCTCTTGATCCCATGATGTAGTTGTATTCTGTTCAGTCTCCTTCAGGTAAGACTGTGATATGGAAGAAGAGGAGCTTTCTTGATGACGCCACTATCTACCTGATCTGGTCCTTTAATGCACTCTAGTAGTGCTGGGCAGAATTTCTCATGAAGGTAGTCACTGATTTCTGATTTAGCAGGAGAGGTGAGAAAGGATTCTCACACAGGGCAGGCAGTATTTGTCTTCATTTTGAGAGTTGCTTGCCTCTGCTGCAATTTTATCTGTTTCTTTGTTTCCTTCTTATGTCTGGTTTTGATCCACCACCCACTTTTGTGTTTATTATTTTTGTGTGCTCCCTCCGGGCCACTCAATCTTGTATTCCTTGTGGCAGAGCTTTCTCACTGCCTGTTGGACCCCTGCCACTCAACAAAGCACATGTACGTACATTATGCCACTTAAATATCAGAATAATCCTATAAGTCTGTTATTCCTAGGAAACTGGGACTCAAAATATAGTAAAGTTTGGTAAATTGATAAGTAATTAGAATTTTCAGCTAGCTAAATGCTAACCATGAATATTCAGTGGAATATTTTGCTTTCAGTTTGAGCTAAATAAAGTAATTGGACAATGTCCACAAAAATGTAAGAAAAATAACTCAACCTTTCATTATCTCACCACATGGTATCTTACGTGAGACATCGTCAAATTTAAGATGTGCTGTTATTTGATGTGTCACTGAGAAAGGAAAAAAAATAGTATCAACTAAGTTATGTCATTTAAATTATGTGGGTTATTATCCTCATCCCAATTACAGATGTTCTAATGTAAAAAGCTATGTTTTAGAATCAACAAATACAGCACTCATTTAACTTTTATTACATGACTTTAATGTATAGGACATTTACCGAAACTTGTTAATTGTCTTAAAACAGTAGGATGTAAGATAGTAAATTCAAACATATTTACTCTATAATGTTTTCCCTCCAGCAACCATCCACTGAGCTAGAATTTGACCGTGTAGTGATTTATACCACTTGCCTTCGTGTGGTACGGACAACATTTGAAAGATGTGAACTGGTGAGAAAGATCTTCCAAAATCATCGAGTAAAATTTGAAGAGAAAAACATAGCTCTGAATGGTGACTATGGAAAAGAGTTAGATGAACGATGCCGACGGGTTTCTGAAGCTCCATCCCTCCCTGTCGTGTTTATCGATGGCCATTATCTTGGGGTAAGTACTCTGCTAAGGAAAATCTGCTTCATTTTCGTTGAACTCAATCACTGTTGATAAAAATCAATAAGTCAATGAAAAGGTAACCTGCGACATAACTACCAGGACACTTCTGCTTTTTGGAGCTTAAACCAAAGGGATTGAGACAGTTATTTATATCCCAAACAATATACTGCAACAGTGAACCCCGAAGAAGCATGGTGAGATAAAGTCAGCATGCAGTTGCCTTTGAATACCAACACATCATTTTTTAAATTTTCTGTTGACCTAGTTTTTGCATTTTGAAGCTTGGCTAGTGGGATAAAAACTTTTTTTTTTTTTTTTTTTCGTGCAGGAAAGGAAAATGGAATGTTTATAAGATACAAAACCCGTTGCCATCAAGTAGATTTCAACTCATAGCTCTACATGACAGAGTAGAACTGCCCCATATGGTTTCCAAGGAGTGGCTGGTGGATTTGAACTGTCAACCTTTTGATTAGCAGCCAAGCTCTTAACCACTGCACCACCAAGGCTCCATAAGATATGTATTTGTGAATTCTCTTACACCTCATTATCTAACACTCAGTTTCCTACCTAATGAACTTAAGATGACAGTCCTGAAATGAAATCAATAAGAATGAGGGCTTGGAGCTAGAATTTTATCTATTTACTGTTTAAAATTATTTTTGATCTTGGTGATGCTGCAGTATGAGACACAAATTCAGTAGGCAGAGAGAACTCCCAGGACAGCAACAAAATATACCAGCTTCATTTCTCTTTGAGTAACACTAATAGCATAATTAACTTTGGTTTTGTCTCTGAACATGCTCAATCTAGTAAGAAGACCAAAGAGAGAATCTGGGAGTATGCTCTTTGGAAAGGCTTATGGCAAGGAGCCAAGGGGCACCAGTGGTTGAGGGAGTAGGTTGATTGCATGATCAGTTATCACAGAACAAAGAGGGACTGTCACACAGCAGACAGATACATGAATCTTGGTTTTGTTTAGCATCTGGTCTTAACCTTCAGCTTTCAGGGAAGGTTTGAAAATTTCAGAGCAAGAGATGCTGATGGATTGTTAGAGGCGAACTGTGTTCTGCTATCCTGTCTAGAGCCATGGCCGTAAGAGGCAGCCTGTCATCTTATGGAAAGATAAATACGGAGAAGCCATGATTCAATTGAGATGATGCTATGCAATCTCACTCATAATCAGAGCTGGGCACAGATCAAATTCTCAAGTAGAGGAATTTTTATTTAAGGTATTAACCTCTTATCAGTATATTTCAACATATACCCCTAGGTCCTAGAAAACTACAACAGTGGCAGTAATGATAATGATAAAAAATGATAATAGTAGTTATGATAATAATGCTATGGATTCAATGGTGTTGCCCAAAAACTTACGTTGAAGTTCTAACCCCTGGAACATGTGAATATGACCTTGTTTAGAAATAGGGTCTTTGAAGATGTTATCAGTTAATTTAACATGAGGTCATAGCAGAGTTGAGTGGGTCCTAATTCAATCTGAGTGGCATTCTTATAAAAGAAAAGAAACACAGAGAGACAGATGGAGGGGAGGCAGAGAGGAGACACGAGAGATAGACAGAGGGGAGACAGCGATGTGATGTCGGAGGCATGCTGCAAGACAAAAATGTCTAGGGTTACCAAAAAAGTTACTAAAAGCTGGGAGAAAAAAGAAAGGATCTTGCCTTAGAGTCTTTAGAGAGAACAAGACATTGTGAACACCCTGAATTTGAACTACTGGCCTCCAGAAATAAGGGACAATGCATTTTTCTTCTTATAAGCTGCCCACTTAGTGGAACTTTGTTATAGCAGCCCTATGAGTCTAATACAGATTAATAATAATAATAATTATATATCTCAGTCTCAGCCTTACAAGTGTCATTTCATTTAATCCTTAGGATAGCTTTAAAAAATGGCTCTCTTGTATGACATAGTGGAGTAAGATAGCTTTGCTTCAAATTCCTGATACTTAGCATGCAGTTCTGGGTAATTTATAAATCACTCTGTCCCTTGGTTTCCTCATGTGTAAAATGAGAATAATAATAGAACTTATAGGCTGATTGTGAGAATTTTATGAGATAAGAACCAGTATCCAGAACAAAGTATGTTTTCAATAATATTGTTATCCCTGTTTTACAAGGGAGGATATTAATTGTCTTGCTCAGTATCATATAGCTGATTAAGTGGCAGAGCCAGGACCCAAACTTAAGTCTGAATGACAACCCAAACCCTTGATTTTTAGCACATCATCTTGAGAACAGGTAGTTTGGCTATTTGTTCACTGATCTATTCTAAGCGGAGCCCTGTTGGTACAGTGGTTAAGAGCTTGGCTGCTAACCAAAAGGATGGCAGTTCAAATTACCAACTGCTCCTTGGAAACCCTATGGGGCAGTTCGATTCTGTCCTAGAGGGTACTATGAGTTGGAATTGACTTGATGGCAGTGGGTTTTTGGTTTTTATATTCTCAGCACCTAGAACAGGGCTTGGCACAAAGTAGGTGCTCATGTTCATTAAATACATGAATCATGCTATATTGCCTCTTCATGTTCTCTCCTTTTCTCCCTAGAACATTCTTCCTTTAGAAAAGCATCTGATAAACTCATCCACAACAGTAGGTAAACAACTGATAAGTGTTGAGGGCATTTGTGTTTTAACCTGGGAAAAATTATTCTGACAACAAAAGATATTTCTCATTGTGATATTTCAGTTTCTGTGAAACTGCACAATTTAATAGACTACTGTCTGCTTACACAGGAATAAGTTTGGCCCCACCTGGCATACTGCTCTTGACTATTCCTGTTCCCATCTTGAAGCCAACCTGATTATCTTCTTCCTACTTCTGAGACTAACAGGCCGCAATGCCTTTGCTGCCATTTTTTGTTTGTTTGTCTTAATTTGAGGAATAGAAGGAGAGTGCAAAATGAGGTAGGGGAAAGATTTCTGTCTCAGTTGCTGTTTTTATTTACACATATGTTAGCTTAGGAGAGAAAGGAGCACACAAGTGGTACCTCTTTCCTTCTGTAAGTTGAAGCCAATGCTCCAAATCTGGAGAGAGGCCAGAGACAAAAGATGTTTTTCCTTCTTTTTCTGATAAAAGAATTACTTCAAATCAATAGTCTAAAAGGAGGCACAATCTCCAGAATGAACTATATAACAATTTCCCATTCTACTAGAATAGTCCCTTTATCTAAATTCCAATGCAATGTTGCAAATGGAATACATTGCTAGAATTGTAGATTTTTTCTTCTGCAGTATTCATGCATGTGAAATGGAAGGGCGCCCTCTGCTGTGTTTTGGCACATGGTGAAAATAATCTTTAGGAAGGAAAATAAGTTAGTGTTGGTAATTTCTTTAGCATCTGTGTTGTTTTAACAGTAACAAGAGATTATTTAGTTTAAACTAAATGGATGAGATACATTAAGATGTGTGACTCATTTACACAATACAACTTTGTTTAAGGAAAGAGAGAAAAATAGAGAAACAAACAGAGACTGCAAAGAGTAAGACAGAGATAGGAATAAACAGATGTAGATGGATGCAGATTGGAAACTATGTAGACAAAGATACAGAAAGGCTATGATATTCCGGGTATGAGAGTATTTAGCAGCTCTCTTTTTTACTGCCATCATGCCACCCAAGCCAGGCTGGATGGTGCCAGGGAAGTTTAATAAAATTTATTGAAGTGAAGAAAATTAATTCAATGGGCAAGAAGGCAATAATTAATAAGGATGCTGAGCTCTTTTTTCTAAGGACTCCTTTCCACAGCCTAACTAAAAAGTGAAGTTAGATGCAATGAAACCGTCAAGGGAAAGAAATTATCTTAGAAAACACATCTGCACTGCCTTGGGATATTCCACCAGGAACAAAAAGAAAAAAAAGAAAGAAAGAAAATTAACAAGTCCAGCCTGGAACTTGCTTAGGGCAATAGTCCTGTTGTTCTTCTTCTTTACACAAAATGATTGTGTTCCCAAGGGAGAGTCTCTGATGGAGCAGGAGAAAAGTGGGGTGCAGAACTCAAATTCTAGTAAAAAGACCAGACTTAATGGTCTGACTGAGAGACTGGAGGAACTTCAGAAAGCATGGCTCCTGGACTCTCTGTCAACCCAGAACTAAAACAATTCCCAAGGCCAACTCCTCAAACAAAAATTAGACCGGACTATGGGACATAACATGATACTCGTGAAGGGTGTGCTTCTTAGCTCAAGCAGATACATGAGACTAAATGGGCAGCTTCTGTCTGGAGGTGAGATGAGAAGGCAGAAAGGGTCAGGAGCTGGTTGAATGGACACAGGAAATCATGTGGAAAGGAGGAGTGTGCTGTCACAGTATAGGGAGAGCAGTTAGGGTCACATAACAATGTATGTATAAATTTTTGTATGAGAGACTAACTTGAATTGTAAACCTTCACTTACAGTACAACAATTAAAAAAAAAAAAAGATTGTGTTCCAATAGTTTGGACATAAATTATCTTAGAATTCCCAATAAGAAATAGATTAGAAATAGTGTCTTGATTTTTGGATCAACTGTTAAACTCTACAGTAAAAATTCACAAAACCCACGTAGGAACTGAGCTATAAAACACACAGAATGAACCTGAGTGGGGGCTCTCATAATTCCTGAGAAGAATAGAAGGGCCCCTGATCTAGATAGTTTGTTAAACTAGCTGATACTGAGGTATGACTATATGATTATTCCCCACCTATTTAAAGTACTGTATTTCCACTCTAATATAAGCATAAAGGCAATTTCCTGACCATAGCTATTTCACAGACTAGAAATATAGATTCTAGACATATTGCTAGGGACTACTCACAAAACTGCTGAAATGGGTTATCAAGGAAGCCTCTGCCACAGTCAAGAAGTAGTCAGCTCCAGAAACTCTACTTTTGCAATGATTCATACCGCTGAAATATATAATTTGTTCTCTGCCTTTCTTTCTACATATTTCTTTTCCTAAATAAAATCTTGAGTGAGTGCGTTTGATTTGTGGCTACTAAAT